AATAACCTTTAATGAAAAAAAATATGAAACTGAATATATGTATGTACATGACTGGGACATTGTGTGCTGTACACCAGAAATTGACTGTACTTCAACTAAAAATAAATAAAATAAAATAACTTCCCAGCCATATCTCACCGGTTATTACCATTTCATAGATGCAGAAACTGAGGCACAGAGAAGTTACTCACCCAAAGTGCACAGATAACAGATGGAGCCATGATTCAAACGTAGGCAGTTGGAGACCAGAGTCCACAGTTGGAACCACTGTGCTCTAACTGCCTCCCAGGCGGTACTTTATTAAATTGAAGTGACTGGAGTGAAATGATGACCCTCACTCTATGGAGGAGAACCAGTGCTATTCCTAGTAGTGGTCATCATCTCCCAGAATCCCTCAAAAGTTCTCAGATCACCCACATTTAAAGAAAAGCACTCACCATTTTCTAAAAGTAGGAGATGTAATAGTAACCAATACATAAGGGCAATGTTTCTTTTCTGCATCCTGAACTGCGTCTCTGTGGCTGGAAAACAAGATGCCTGGATCCCAGATGTGGCTGAGACCTAGAAGGCAAAGAATAGTATTCTTGAGAAAGGAGAGTTCAAGGTGAAAATATAAAGGCTGGAGCTTCTAGGAACGTGGGTCTCATAAGTATGTGTTCTTGAAAAGAATCTTGAGCTTGGAGGGTGGGAAACTGGATGCCGGGCTCTTTAAGCTTCCTCCATGCGATGTTGTTGCCTCTTTCTTTATCATGAAAGAGCTACATGGGCCTTTATAGCTTCATCTGGGTCAGGGAGGGGTTGGAAATTTGACTTGTTTTTCTGCCAACTGTGAGCAAGTAACAAAACAATACTGAGTCTGGGAAGGAATAGACTGGGGGTCAAGAGGAAGGTGAGAAAGGAGAATGACATGATCACACTAGGCAGGGCACTGGGCTGGGTTTGAGGAGGAAGTAGAACTGAATAAGGAGATCAAGTTTGTCAGAGTGGAAGGGACCCACCCCTGAGGCAGGGATGGGACCAGAAACCTGTTATAGTTCAAAACTTTGTTTCCGGGGCAGGAAGTCCTGTGTGCCTGCTTTAGCATGGAATAAGCCCTAACAGACCTAACTGAGGGGGCAGGACCCCACATTTCTGAGTCAAAGAAAAATATAAGATGTCAAAGAGAGCAATAACTAGGGAGCTGGGGTCCTGGGATCCAGGCAGAAGAAGACAGACAGTGCATTGCTGAGCATGTAGTAGGCACTCAACAATGCACGTTGACTAAACAGGGAAAGAGATCCATGGGTAATGTGTCATCTTTGGGGTCTTTGGGGCATAGAGCTGAGGGTGGGGGAGAGTGTTGAATATGTGGGAACAAGCCACCTGCTACACTCATAGCAGCTAAAGGGGTGGTATAGGGACCTCTTCTGATTCTCAACTATAGGGGTTCCCCTCTTATTTCTTTTCAGAGGAATGCATGGGAGCTTTTCCTCCCTGGGATCATTCAGATGTTCCTTCTCATCAGCCTTAATGCAGCATCTCTCTGTAGGCTATCCCATGGGCACCACATTAGGAGATTTCAAGTCTGTTGGGAGAGGGAGATACATAGTCCAAGTCCTCTGGGAACTTGGGTCTGGACACAGATATAGCAGCAGAAAGGACACACAGTCAGCTAAATGAGCGTGACTGAACAGACCCAAATGAGTGGAGAGTTTGGGGAGTTAACAGAAAAGCCTTCTTGCAGCCAGGGTGAGGGGCGTAGGATTGATGGGAGTTCCAGTGACAGTCTGTATGACCAAAGGCAGCTGTCTCCATTCCCTGTCAACAAAGAGAAACTTCGTGGAAGAAGCGACATCTCAGGTAATTTATTTATAGGTGAACGGGCATCCCCATTATGTAAGACCTGCTAGAAAGAAACTGGCAAGCAGAAGGTGGCTAGAGACATGAAGGAGCTTGGAATAAGTGAATCTGAGAATCAGGAGGGATGGGGTGTGCTAGGAAAGGCTACATGCTGATGTGCCTAGCGTCTGTGATCGGCAGCTCCTGAGGCTGAGATGTGAGGGGGCAGTGACAGGTGGCGGCCTGGACTCCCAGCAACCCTATTCTGTGGCTGTAAAGCCAACAGCATTCTAAGAAAGAAAACTTTTCTTCCCTCTAAAATTATTTGGAGGCAGAGGTCCTGAATTCAGATCAAGATTTTACCTTTTAGAGTTATCCTAAAAATTTTTACACGCATACTTACCAGTCTGAATGTAATTAATATCTTTACCCTCCTTCAAAACAATACAAGGACCTTGGAACACTTTTCATTCTGATTATCTATCTCCCAACTGATACCCTAACATTACTGAGTATATTAATTCTATCTTTTTTTTTTAACTTCATGAGAGATCATTGCCGTCTGCTCACACACCATTAAGAACATAGTCATACGGCTGCAAGAGAAATACAGTCCCTTGCTGGGCGGACGTGCTCAACTAAAACTTGGGAATTCCATTGTTAAAGATGGAGAAGGGATACTAGTAGACAATCACAAAGCTACGACAATACCTAGTTTTTTTTTGTGGATCTGATCTTGCTGTCTGTTCTGTTTTGTTTTGTTTCTTACTAGCTTTCACTCATGGTGCCTCGTTTGTGATTAGAGATTTATGACTATAAATTTATTTTTCTTGAATTATTATCTGTATAAGTCTTTTGAAACCTGAGATGAAGGTCTGATCTTCCACAGAGAATTTGCGTGTTTTTACTAAGCATATGGAGACAATCCCATTTGAGGATTACTTTAAATTAAATTATAAGCTTGAAGTCTTTTGAATTACCCAGATTGCATGATTTGGGGCTGCAAACTCTGTAGAGTATTGTGGTTACAAGTTATTTCTCAAGATGTACTTCCTCCATTCTTCCTTCCCATGCACGGAGTTTAGAGACAGGCAGTTTGCTTGCATTTCCTGGGAGGAGGGATAGGTTTGTTTTTATTTTACACTCTCCCTGAACGTCTCAGATTTATGTGAAGGTCTGTTACAAGAGTCCTCACCTGGGCTGGTCCAACTGAGGCTGTGCTTCCTAAAACTTAAGTTCACTGGTTTGACAAAATTTGGCTTGAGTACTACACTTACCTCCTTGGGTTCCTACCTTAACTTAGTGTTTCCTTTCAGCATTCCTTATTTTCTTGTCAAATCATTGACACATTTAAGAAGAATTGAAAAAAAAAAAAGCCTGGTTTTTCTCACTTCACCTTTAAAGGGTTTAAAATTGTTTCATATCTGGTCAAGTTGAGATTTTTAAGAACTTTATTTTTAATTTTTAATAAAAGTTTACAGCTTGGTTTTTTTTTTAAAGTCAGCAATCTGCAAGCACCTGTTAATAAAGGTCTTAAATAATGAAAAAGAAGAATTTTTAGTTTTTCAGTATATTTTAAGTCAATACACCTAGAGCCAGAAATTTAAGTTCTTATTAGATTGCTTTGAGAAATAAATGATGGTGTATTTACAGGCACAGCACAGCGGCACATAAAAACATGCAATAATAAAGGACAAAGGAAAAGCGTAAATATACAGATGCCAAGTGTGTTTTGAGATTTTAACAGTAGCGCATCCCAGTGGTTTTCTCCTTACTTGTCATATAGCATTTGGAAAAGACAAAGAAGTAGGGAGGAAGAATCTTCCTAAAGATAAAGGAGACCAGGAGGGCACTGAGTAAGTCAAAGATGGCTTTCTATCTACCCAGTTTGTATGATTTGAACTTACAGACCCAAATGAAGAATGTCATGCAAATTCTCAGGGAGGTTTTTTTTTTTTAACACCCCCTCCATTCAGTGTCAAGTTTAGAGCCAGACATTTGTCTCAGTCACCGATGTGCGTGGTGGGCAATACAATTTTATTCTAGTTTAACCATACACTGAAGCGTTAACCCTTTTAGATTTCAGCTTTCTTTAGAGTCTCCTGTTAGGCTCCGCCCCTTATGCAGATCCTGGAATTTGTCTCCTATACCCTAAGTGCTAAGAAGCTGTGAGAAGATAAGCTTAAATTCACCAGATTTGGCAAATATCCTCTTTATGAAGGTTGGATCAGATTTCTCCTTCATCCTCTCAGTCTCTGCCTTCTCTTGACTATTGATCTAAGTGTTACTTACTATCTACCCAGCTGACTGATACAGGTACAAAGATTTTTTTCAGTATTTTATCCAGCAATTTTTGTTCCTTTCTATTAAGAGGGGTGGTTAGTGTATCCTTTCCACTATATTGCCAGAAAAGTGGAAGTTCTCAAAAGATTGTTTTGAAGTTACAAATTTCAGAATCGTTAAATGGTAGTGTATTTAAAGTTACCTAGTACAATGCTTAGCACCTAGTAAACACTCAGTACCAAAGAGAAAAAGGAGGGAAAAGAATGCCCAAACAGATAAACAAGGAAACAGGTCATCCTGCTACCACAAATAGTATGAGTTGTTTTGGGTTTTTTTGTGTTTGGGGGATTTGTTTGTTTGTTAAGCTCTAATAATATCATCTTTCCTCCTACTGGTCTTAGTGTGTCCTGAGGAAATAAAAAAGAATTCCCAAGTGAAAAGGGCACAGGTTATTATTACTTGCACATTAGGAGTGCAAAGAGGAATTGTTCTGGTCACTGTGACTTCCTAAGAGGTAAGCTCAGGGAGTATCTTTACTTGAGCTATCCCAACCTGATGAGGCTACAGATCTCCTCCAGAAACACTCTTTGTTTTTCTGGCTGCCCTGTTAGTCAAACCCTCTGTGACCTCTATTCTCTGGTTCTTTTCTTGACCTTGCTGATGATCATTTCTCATGGCCAATCCCTTGAAGAGCTCTTGGAAGCCCATCTTGACCCATTTTATGATCACTGCCTTCTCCTCCATGATCCCCTTCATCGTCAATGTTTTTGTTTTTATTTTTATTTTTTCCAGAGGACCCTTCATTATCCAGTCTGTGTCCACACTCCCCATTCTTCCTTGGTGGCCTCTGCTGTGATCTACTTCACAGCTCTTGTTATGGCCTCCTCCACATTCATGACTCCTGCCATGATTCACGCCATTACTACCCCCTTGGCTGTGGCTTAATTCATGGCGCACTCCATGGCCTACTTGGAGTCCAAAACCTCTCCATATGCCTCTCCATGAACCAGTTCATTTTCCAGACCATGGAACATGCCAGAGCCCAATCCTGAGTCCAGGTCCAGACCAGTTCTGTGGTCATGGAGTTTATCAATGCCTCTATTTATCAGGGAAAAAGAAAAGCCCTTCTAAAAGAGAGGGAAAAAAAACATTATTATTAGTGTTAAATCCTCTTCTTTTGGATCATTAAAACTTGGATTGTCAAAAATCACAAATTTTCACTTTTCATCCATTCTGTGTGTGTGTGTGTGTGTGAGAGAGAGAGAGATATTGTTGGCTTTCTACTCTGTACTTTGGCAAATCTCTCTGAGAGTTGAATCTCCCAGAAACAGGGAGTCTTTCATTGTGTTAGTCAGCTGAGAAAGTTGTGTATCTATGATGACAGGTAAAAGTAAATAAAAGTTCATAAAACGGAAGTCAGAATAATAGTTACCTTTGGTTGGGCTGGTACTGACAGGGAGGGGACACACAGGAAACTACTCAGGTGATAGAAATGTTCAATATTTTGAACTGGGTGTGGTTATTTGGGTGTGTACACATTTTTAACTTAATCAAGCTGTACACTTGAGATTTGTATACTTCTTGTAAATTACACTTCAAAATGTTTTTAAAAGGTAAAGGAAGGCCCATAAAGAACTAAGGCTTGGAGAACCAGCTTTAA